GTGTTTGATGTTTTTTTTTTTAAGTGGGTTTCATCTGTTCTTTTAGGGAATCGTGACAAGCATGTGTCTTTACAGAGACTTGTGAGCGTTTCCTTCCCTTTTGAGGGGAAGCAGTCCTTTAGTGTGCTCAATGGTGTGGTGTCTACTAGCCATCTATTGAAGACTGAGTGAACTAAAGCTGAACTAGACGTTGTCTGTGACAGATGGAGGATGATGGTTTGTCTCAGTTGTGGTTGTGACGGAAGTGCAGGTGTTCACAGTTTGTATGGGCTGGGGTTTGTATGCTCATGCAAAGATGATCTACACTGTATGTTTTCAGTCATGCTACTGTTTTCTGTGTATTCTTCAAAATATCTTCCTTATAATGTTCCACAGAAGGAAAAAAATAACCAAAAGTTGTTTTGTGTAGGTCGTAGTAAACAGTCATTTTAGGTGAAGTACAGGGTTTTCCAAACTGGGGAAATGCAAGGGGTTTGAGTTGATGAAAAGCTAATTAACAATTTAATCATATAAATAAAAGTGACTTGAAATGTGAACTTAAAATCATAAAAATATAAACAATCTGTATTGTATAAAGTGTAGTATTAATAATTAATTTAGCAATATAAATAAAAGTGACTTGAAATGTGACTTACGGTGGATGAAAAGTTAATAACTAATTAAATAAAAATAAACAAACTTTATTGTATAAAGTGACATATAAATAAAAGTGACTTGGAATATATACTTAAAGATGGTGAATGAAAAGCTAATAATTAGTTAAATTATAAAATATAAACAATCAGTATTGTGTAAAGTGTTATAGAAATAAAAGTGACTTGACATGTGACTTAAAGAAGAATTAAATCATAAAAATAAAAACAATCAGTATTGTATAAAGTGTTATAGAAATAAAAGTGACTTGACATGTGACTTAAAGAAGAATTAAATCATAAAAATAAAAACAATCAGTATTGTATAAAGTGTTATAGAAATAAAAGTGACTTGACATGTGACTTAAAGAAGAATTAAATCATAAAAATAAAAACAATCAGTATTGTATAAAGTGTTATAGAAATAAAAGTGACTTGACATGTGACTTAAAGAAGAATTAAATCATAAAAATAAAAACAATCAGTATTGTATAAAGTGTTATAGAAATAAAAGTGACTTGACATGTGACATAAAGAATAATTAAATCATAAAAATATAAACTGTTGTATAAAGTGTTATAGAAATAAAAGTGACTTGACATGTGACTTAAAGAAGAATTAAATCATAAAAATATAAACTCTGTATTGTATAAAGTGTTATAGAAATAAGTGACTTGACGTGACAAAGAATTAAATCATAAAAATATAAACAATCAGTATTGTATAAAGTGTTATAGAAATAAAAGTGACTTGACATGTGACTTAAAGAAGAATTAAATCATAAAAATAAAAACAATCAGTATTGTATAAAGTGTTATAGAAATAAAAGTGACTTGACATGTGACTTAAAGAAGAATTAAATCATAAAAATAAAAACAATCAGTATTGTATAAAGTGTTATAGAAATAAAAGTGACTTGACATGTGACTTAAAGAAGAATTAAATCATAAAAATAAAAACAATCAGTATTGTATAAAGTGTTATAGAAATAAAAGTGACTTGACATGTGACTTAAAGAAGAATTAAATCATAAAAATAAAAACAATCAGTATTGTATAAAGTGTTATAGAAATAAAAGTGACTTGACATGTGACTTAAAGAAGAATTAAATCATAAAAATAAAAACAATCAGTATTGTATAAAGTGTTATAGAAATAAAAGTGACTTGACATGTGACTTAAAGAAGAATTAAATCATAAAAATAAAAACAATCAGTATTGTATAAAGTGTTATAGAAATAAAAGTGACTTGACATGTGACTTAAAGAAGAATTAAATCATAAAAATAAAAACAATCAGTATTGTATAAAGTGTTATAGAAATAAAAGTGACTTGACATGTGACTTAAAGAAGAATTAAATCATAAAAATAAAAACAATCAGTATTGTATAAAGTGTTATAGAAATAAAAGTGACTTGACATGTGACTTAAAGAAGAATTAAATCATAAAAATAAAAACAATCAGTATTGTATAAAGTGTTATAGAAATAAAAGTGACTTGACACGTGACTTAAAGAAGAATTAAATCATAAAAATAAAAACAATCTGTATTGTATAAAGCAAGATATAGCCTAAATAAATGAATTAAGGTAATGAAATCATAAAAATATAATAAATATTTTTAAAATAAAAACAATCAAAACACTAATTAAAAACGTACTAAAAAACAAACACTTTCTAAAAAAAAAAGATTTTAAAAGACAATTCATTATTCAGTAATAATTACCGATTTAACTGCACTAACGCTATGGGATGAAAACAAAAATTTTAACTGAATTGAGCTGAATAATGGCACTAAACTTTTACAGTGTTGCTGAATTGAATCAACGTTGAACTGAATTGAGCTGAAAATGACACTGAGGTGCTTTATAGCTAAAATTAAATTTGCTTCATAATTAATTAATTTTGCAACATTAACACTGATATTTTCCTTTTCAATAATGTGAAGCTGTTTTGAAGCAATCTATATTATACTATATAAAGTGCTTTATAAACAAAAGTGTCTTGAAATGTGACTTGAAGGTGGATGAAAAGCTAATAATTAACTCATAACAATATAAAATTAAAATTAAATACAAAGTCAAAATAAAACGCTAACTAAAACATCAAAACCATGCATACTTAATGGTTTAAAGGACAATTAACATTTAGTAATATCTATTTAACTGGACTGACATGATCGGATGAGAACAAAATTTTAACTGAATTGTGCTGAATAATGAACTTTGTATCTACAATGTTATTGAACTGAATTGAATCAAAATTGAACTGAAATTAATCAACATTGACACAAACACTATTGTTTTCTGTAGAGCTGCTTTATAGCAGAAATTGAATTTTTCATAATTAATCAAATTTACAGCTTAAACAATGGTATTGTCTTTGAAACAACAATCTGAAGCATAAATAGAAGTGACTAAATATGACTTGCAAAAAAAGTCATGTGACTATATTATCATCAGAGATCTGTAAGCATGCAAGTGTGTTGTTAAATGAAATTATTGAAATATTAACTTCAATTTGCAATTTTATGTAAAAGGGGTCGTGTAGCAAAGGTTTGGGAATCCCTGCTCTAGTCAACCGCTCAATAGCCTCCTTTTGTTCAAGTCTTCAGAGGATGTGTCTCTCACTCAAGCAGCTCTTCCTCTCTCTAGAAAACATTCTTCAGCAGTGACTTCATCTGCTCTTCATTAGCTCCGTGTAAATTATGGTGAAAGATTGCAATGCCAGAAGATAAAAAGAGATTCTTTGGCATCATTTTTCTTGTCTTACATATTTAAGACCTATTTTGAGGGGGAACTATTTGCACACCATTTCACACTCTAGAAATCAGTGATATAAATGTCTGATGGTCTAGTCTGTTCTCTCGGGTCTCACAGTCGTGTGAATGGACTTTCGGTTATTCCTCTCGTGTGAGTGAGTTTGTGTGTTTATGTTTGAAAGATCTGCGAGGGAGACATTGAACTGCTGCTGTTCTCACTCTGCATTCGCTGCAGTGAGGGATTGTGGGAAACGCGTTTAAAGAGCCAATCACAGCTGCAGACAAAGAGACCGTTTGAGAGTTTTTCCACTGATCCCTCCCTTTCCCTCAGAACAACAGACCAATGTGTTTTGTGGACTATATAGGGATGTGGAGGTTTTGGTTTCAGACGTGTTTTGTTTCTGTTGTTTTGGGGTTCATAATATTGTGATGGGTTGTCGTTTATGCATTTGAACTCATTAACTCATTTTGGCTCATCTTACAGTCAGAACTTACAGAAAGTTTTATTGCTCAGATGTTGCTTTCATAGTTTGGAAAGGTTGATCTCAATAAAGTATCAAATTACTCACAATCTTGTTTAATTCACTATAAAACAACTCTTTAGGCTTCCTGCAAACAATATGTATTTAATTAATTTTAATATATTTAATATTTGCATTTAATATGAATTTTAAAGTGAAGCATTTGTCATTTTCATTGAATTTAACTTGACATACTAACATAATTAAAATTAAAACTGAAATAAAAACTAGCCTGTATATCTATATATATCTAAAGATATCTATATCTTTACATATATCTATATGAAAAACAAAAACTAATAAAAATGACAAAAACACAACAAAATTACTAAAACTTTAACCAAAATTAAAATTAAAATGGAATATATAAAAAATAAATAAAAATATAAAAACTTATTAATAAACTATAGTGTTATCTCAATTATCCTGGATGATACTGGTTCATATTGCTTATATATAGATTAAATATATAATCTCTTTGTCTCTGTATATTTTTTTTGTGTGTGTGTGTGTATATATATATATATATGTATATATATGTATATATATATATATATATATATATGTAAAAACAAATCTGAGCATCATTTGCAAATTTCAGTCAGCCCATAAAAAATGCATTGAAGTAAATTCATTTAAAATATTAAAACATTAAATTTTTTTACAAAAATATATATTTAAATGTAAAAATCGTTTTAAGTGCAAAATGTACAAAATGAAAAATTTTAAATGTAAAAGAAAATGTACAAAAGTACATTATGTAATGATGACCATGTTATTAAAATGTCCATTTTTCATATTTAAATTGTATCTTCTTTACACTGTTATTAAACTCTTATAGTTGTTTTTACTGTGCATTTCCTAAAGTGCCCATCAGTTTTTATTTCTCAACAGCTGTATTGCATTTGACACACTGATCACAGGGAGATTTCACAGCTGAAACACATGATGGCAGCTGTCATGGCTCATTATTTGTTTACAGATATGCCATTGTGAGAGTTTACATGTTGGATGTCCAGTTATAAAGCACATTTCACGGTTTATCTTCACGACTTAAGACATTTAATCGGTAATCTGTTCTCAACAGGTGCTGTGAGTCCGACGGCGGCAGCGGGAAGCTATCGCGGGAGGAGCTTCAGACGCCCGGGATACATGTGCTCAGAGCCATGTGGCTCGTCTACTAATGAGAACAGTCAAAAGAGTGCTTCGAAATTACCCAGCAGCCCCAGTGAGCGATGGCTTAAGGAGGTTTTCAAGAGAGACGACGGCCGGGATTCTTCCGAAACTCACCGTTTGCATGACGCCAAGGAAAATTCCCCAATGCCGTCGCGCAACGTTTTCAATTCCAGCTTCAGTTTCATTCAGCAGTCACTAGAAACTAGTGATCTATTAGATGTGAACACAAACACATCCGCCAGCATACAATCTGAAGGGGACCGACTGAAGTCTGAAACGTCACACTCTGGTGCTTTAGAACCTCACACTGCTTTAGTAGTAAATCACTTGAGCCAATCAGAGATCAGCACTGTTCCGATTAGCCAATCAGAACATGAGGTTTTCTCATTAAGCAATTCACCTTGCTCCATCGGTCAGCCAAAAAGTATTTTAATGGACCGAGAGCTGTGGCTAGCAGACCTGGATGTACAGATTTCGTCCTCCATAACGTCTTATGCGAAAGAAAGCATCCAGGACTCTGACTCTGGCTCTCTGGACACTGAAGTCACGTCTTCGTTCTCGATTGACTCGACAGACTCGACCTCGGCCTCCTCAGTTACGTCCGGCTACGACAGCACAACCCCGTCCTCAGATCAGAGTCGAGACGGTCTGATAAAGAAGTACGAGGATGTTCTGCAAGACTGTCTGCAGAACAATCGCACAAACACCAAGGTCAGTACGACACGATGTTTAAGGTAGATAGGAAATACATTTAATATTTATAATGCATATTAAAGTTCATAAGTGCAGCGCTGCTTTGTTTACAGCGGAAACCAAGGAAAGGGTTTAAGCGCCGCCTGCTGGCAGAGAGTGAATCTGCGTCTCGTTCAGCTCGTCTGCTGTTTCTGTTTCATGCAGATATATTATGTATGTTTTTTTATGTATAGATATTTAAATTTTGTCATTTAGCAGATGCTTTTATCCAAAGCGACTTACAAATGAGGACAAAATAAGCAATCAAAACCAGCAAAAGAGCAATAATATACAAGTGCTATATTAGTATATTATTATAGTGTTATATTTCAGTTTCACAAAGAAACATGCAGCATTTTGTCCAAGCAATAATAAAAGGACGCATTTAATTTATAATTTGTCTTAAATCTCATTTTGGAAAAAAAACCTAAAAACCGTGAATCGAATCGAATCGTGAGTTGAGTGAATCGTTACATCTCTACTTACAGGCTATCTACACAGAATGCCCCGAATGCACATGAACGTTTCTGCGTGGCTCTGAATGAACTCCTTTTGTGGACGTGTTCTTCGCACAACAACCTGCAGAAACACAGCAACTAAACTCTAAAAATTTATTATAATAGTGTTCTCATTATAATGTTATGTATATGACGGTCCCAGTCATAGTTATTACTAATATTATGCATCGTTGTTTGTCCTGCTCGCGCTGCGACAATTTAGATATTAAATCTTGTTTTCTGAAAAATTTATCAAAATTAAGTGAGTATATGCTTAAAACATAAACACATATCTGCCACTGGGGTAAGAAAAATAAACTTAATTCAAAGGGAAAGCAATATAATTTATTTTAAATTATTTGTAACGACTTGATGCGTAATGGTTTGCTTTGGGAGAAGTCGTGGCCTAATGGTTAGAGAGTCGGACTCGTAACCCAA